GTTGTTGTTACTAATATTGATATTGTTATTACTAGTAGTAGTAGTAGTAGTAGTAGTAGTAGTAGTAGTAGTAAGAGGTAGTAGTAGTAGTAGTAGTAGTAGTAGTAGTAGCAGTAGTAGTAATAGTAGTAATAGTAGTAGTAGTAGTAGTAGTAGTAGTAGTCGTAGTAGTAGTAGTAGTATTAGTAGTAGTAGTAGTAGTAGTAGTAGCAGCAGGGAGATTGATTGGTGTCAGGGATTATGACAGGGTCGAGGTCGAGTGAGTATGTGAACGGAGGGTTCTTTGTTTTGCCTCTGAGATGCCTGTGGGCTAAACTAGTCCAATTGGCGCTGAAGGGGTTGCTGACCAGCCTGCCCAATAGGGCTCCCCATGGACTCAGGGCTATGGAGAAAGGCCTTCAAAAAAAAACCTAAAACTCTAAAACCCACACCTCAAGGCTTAAGTTGACTCCCTGGCTGTTCCCTAACCTGGCTTCGAGCCAGGCAGCTTCCGAACCTCGAGCCTGTCACCGGTGCAGCATAGCAGGTTCTGTGAGGTTTTAGGGGTTTGGGGTTTTAGGGTTTAGGGTTTGTGAAAAAGGGCTTTAGGGTTTTAGGGTTTAGGGCTTAGGGTTTGGGGTTTAGAGTTTTAGGGTTTTGGGTTTTAGGGTTTTGGTGTTCGCTCTTGCTCCCTTCACACGCATCGGCCTCAGTACGGGTTCAAAAAAAAGGGTTTTGGTGTTTTGGGTTCTATAAGGGTGCTATGAGGGTTCTTTGAAGGTTTTATCAGACAGGGTTTAGTGTTTATAGGTTCTACCTCAATCCGTGCTGAAAAAGGGTTGGTTCTATAAGGGTTCTACGAAGGTTCTATCGGGGTTCTATGAGGGTGCTATCAGGATTCTGCTTCTGGATTCCATACAGGTTGTATGGCAGTCCCACTTGCAAATGCAACCCTAAGCCGCCAAACCCTAAGCCTACTTTAACCCAGGGAGTTTGCCCTTTGAAAGTGGCTTGCCCTGCGGGAGCCTAGACCCGATACCCTGAACCCGGAAACCTTTGCGGGAGCCAAAAAAGCCCCAAACAGCGCCGGAACCCTAGAACCCAAGACCCTAAACCCTAGAGCCCTAAACCGAAACCACAGAAATGCGGAAGCCTAGGCTAGGAGGCGATGAGGATGCAGACCCGGAGTTCGAGGAGATGGTCCTTGGTCCTTCTTTAAGGCGTTAGGATTTAGAGCTTAGGGGGTTTATGGCTTAAGGTTGAGGTTTGGGAGATAAGAAGAAGGGTTTAGGGCCGTCTAGGGTTGCCGCGTATGCACCTTTGGTTAACTTCTCCTTTGGATTCATTCTTCGGCTTTCTGAGAAATAGAGGTAGTGCAAAACCGAGGGTTTGTTAAATAATTGTATTGGTGTTATCATGGATAAACAATGGGCTTTGAGTCTTCAGCTTTTCTCTGGTTTTCTGTTCCCTGATTGAATACAGATCTATGGTATAGTTGTATTGCAATCATCTTTCTTGAACCCACCTTCCGTGCCTATAGCGTTTTGGCATGTCGTTTACAGTCTACTGTAGGGTATGTTTGAAAGTGAGAGGGTTTAGGGTTTAGGGCCCTAAACCCTCAACCCTAAGCCCTAAATCCTGATTGAGGTTTACCACCTGTTTCCACTAAACTCGTGGTGACGGTGTGGACCCTGAGGTTCTTCGCATACCGGGCCTAGGCTAGGGTTCCCTGCCTAGCTGATGACGGACGCCACTGAATGGGTTTAGGACGTTAAGATCTTGAGAGCTCTGCGGTTTAGGGTGTGTTCAATGGTTTGTGGTAGTAGCTTGGGGGTCTTCTAAATTTGTGTGCATGCAGAGGTAGGACACGCCACGACCGATGCGAGAATACTTGCCGTGCCTCTTCGATTCGAAGAGGATACTGTCTGTTCGGCTCGCGGGCAATCATGTCAGTGTTGCTTATGCTTCTTTGTCGGTGACCTGCCTGTGCGTGCATGTGCGCACACTCAGGCATGTGCGTTCTAGTATTGAAAGAGCACCCACACGGAAGCTTTGGTTTGGGGTATCCCTCTTGCACTGTCTTACTTAGATTTGGCGAATATGGGATGTCCCTTATGGCTTTGCTTGGGTGTTTTTTCTGAGTCACTATGTGCATCTCCCTCCGTCCCCTCCGCTCGCTCGGTCTGTCTCGTTCTGTCTCCGTCTACCCGCTGGCGATCTAGCTGAATGAAGCTTCGGAGTTGTCCCAAACGGGACTCGTGGTACCTGCGGCCTGCGGTCTACACTTAGACTTTCCACACTGTGCAAGACTTGTTAGCTACAACGGTTACCGTGCAGACTAGCTTCTCGTGATATTACATAATTACTATTGTGCAGGATGTGATGATATTTTATTCGAATGCCGTTGTGGTCAGGTTGTTATAAGGCCAAATAGCAAGCCGGCCGCTTGTACGGCAGACCAACCCCTCTGTCCGAGTTACAACATCGGACATAATATTTGGCGCATGGACTTGGATGTTCCGAGCTGTTGTGTCTTGTGGCAAGATTAAGTGCATAGACTTCATCCGCGGTTGAGGGTTGAGTAAGCCCCACTTCCTGGCTTTGATTCTGCGGGCCTGGTTTTTTCTCAAAGGCAGCGCGAAGCCGCAGACCACTGGCACGTATTACCAACACAAGTTTTCAAGCCATGCGAACTGCAACAAGCTGCACAGCTCTAGGAACATTTTAGACCCTCAACAACAAATCGTCGCCGGAGCCATGAACGGACCCTCAGCACGGGCCTTACGCGAGGGTGGCATGGGAGGTTCGATCCCCTACAAGGTAGGGGTCACACTCCAGGTGAAGCCAAAGGACAGCGGTCCCATCCCGAAGGAGTGGCTAAGGAAGACCACCTTACAGGCACCATTTGGTGACTTCGGCCATATTCTTCGGATCGACGTCTCCGAGACGCAGAGGTGCGCTTACGTCGAGTACGAGGATCCGAGGGATGCGCAGGATGCTCAGAAAGACCTCGATGGAAAGCGTATAGCTGGCAAAGAGGTTTCTGTGCTCCTCGCTGGCCAAACTCCGAACCGTCGGCCGGGTAGCAGCCCGATGCCGGCGGCCGTCCCTGAGCGAGCCGTAGACATCGAGCAGAGGGTTGCAGAGATGGCCATGAAGCATTTCTTAGACGAAGCTGCAGCTGCTCGGCTTGCAAGTGTCTTCCAGGACCGGTCACGGTTGGGCTGCAACTTGGCGCGGGACTTTCAGGACTTGGACGAACACCTCTCGGCCTCGAACAAGCCATCGGCGCTCGTGAGCATGAAGCTCTCTGAGCTTCGATCGGGGCGACCCATCGGCCCATGCAAGTACCAGGGCGGCAAGAAGCGAAACATTGGCGACGCCATCGACCCGGAGATTCGCGCCAGCTACCAGAGCAGCAACTACTTCGGTGAGAAGGACGACGAACCGCCACATCGTGAGGCTCGGGATCGAGATCGGGAGCGGGAGCGGAGCGAGCGTCGTGACCGCGGCCGGGACAAGGAACGGAGCAGGCGTGGACCTGAGGGTGCCAGGCACAGAAGATAACAGAACTTGACGCATCCAGAGGAGAAGATATCCAGGAGCAGTTGTGAGTCGAGGAAAAAGTCGGCCTACTCACGCAGCTTGTGAATTCAGCAGAGCAGATTGGGCTTGAAGTCGTTAGGCAAGAGGCACAACTCTCGGCTCAGGTCAGCGATCTGCGGCGTAGTTTCGTGGGCTGGCTGAAGAAGGCCGAGCTCGAGCTGAAGCAGCACCGCAGCGACGTCAGGCCTGGAGGGCCCGACTGAATCCATGTCTGAGTGTGATTTCGCAGATGAGCGCATGTAATTGTGTGTGTAGGTATATATATATATATATGTATAAATAAATATATATATATATATATATATATGATATATGATATATGATATATGATATATATATATATATACATGTATGTGTACGCATGTATGTGTATGTAACTATGCGCATTTTCGATTTGTGGGTGCAAATTGCACATTTATGTGCTGAGAAACATCTCCTTGACAACTCTACCTCTGTGCCCTGAACCCTTTATAAACCCTAAGAAAACCTGTGTATTGTCAGATGTCGGGCCCGAGGCTGAGACCTTGAACCTACCAGGCTCTCTAGAAGAGAACTCCGACGTAAACTCCCAAAGGCAAATCCCCGACTTCTAACCGTCCTAAACTCCCGGAGTCAGCAAACCTGACTTGCTCAAGGCGCGGAAGGCAAGCCTTTGAAGAGGACCTGTTGGGTACAGATTAGGGTGCCGTTTAGGGTTTAAGGGTTAGGAAAGCCTGTTGCCAAAAGGGCTTATTTCTAAGATGAGCGGTCTTGGACTGTCGTTTTGCTCCGACTATAGGGGGTTTTTTGGACATTCGAAACTCCATGCATCCCCTGAGGACTCAACCACCGAAACCCCCTAAGCCCTGAAGCCCTCGAAATTCAGGAGAAACTGTCGGTGTGGCAGCAGTTTGTGGCAGAGAAGCAGCGAGAGGCAGTTTCAGCGATCCCAAACCACCAGGGTTAAAGAGGTCAAGGTCGAAAGGTTTCTTGCTTCATGGGTTTAGTTTAGCGTTCATGGGTTTAAGGACTGCAAGAGGATAGTAGTAGCACCTATCACAGGCTTCACGACTGCAAGGAGATACACTCGCAGCACTATGATTCATTGTTCCGTTAGTCAGATCCTAATGCTCCCAGAGCGTTTGACCTTTTGAATCGGCTGGCAGACCCTGAAAAACCCAGGCAGAACTCCAAAAAAGCCTTCGAAAACACATAGACCCCTACAAAAGGCCCTTATAACCCTATCGAGCCCTTCTTACACCCTCTTCGCCGCCTTTCTTCCAACATGCAGCTGGGCCACAGGTTGAGAAGATTAGGGAAGACCGTCGTCATGCCGAGGATGAGATGGCCACACAGCTGAGGCCCGGAAGAGAGTTCTAGGATGCTATATGCGTACCGTAAAGGTTTTCGAGGCTTGTTTGCTTTAGGGTTAAAGCCTATGAAAACCTAAAGCCTAAAGCCCGAACCGAAACATTGAGGTTCTAGCCTCTGGAAAAATCTTGAGGTGAAACTGCCTTCCGAGTCGATTGACGCAGGCAGGTGCAGGCCGACATCGAGGAATCACGGCAGCGCATCGGCGAGGAGCGCATGCGAGTATCCCGGAGGCATGTGGTGGGGTTCTCAAAACTATGAACCCCCTTTGTTGTCTCTTAAGGAACCTCTGTTTGGGGGCCTCTTCTTCAGCGACCCGCTTTTTGGGGGGCTTCTTCTTTAGGGATCCCTTTTCGGGGCCTCTTCTTCCGGGGCCCATATTAGGGTTCCGAACCCAAATTCTAATACAACTGCAGTGTTTGGAGTGGGCCAGCCCACAGGGCTCTCAGGATTTTGGGCTCGGCGTCGGGGCCCCCAAGCCCGACGCGGAGAACCTGAGACCTTAGCTGTTCCAGGGCTCATAGGACCTACATGGAACCGTGTCTATAGAGTTTATAAGAGTAGACGTAGCTTGTGACATGGGCCCTCAAGAAACAGAAGGACCATCGGACAAGCTAATCACGCACAAGCAAAGGACTTCACACCTGTTTGTTGCCATGGTCCTCCGCCATCGCAGCAGCTGTGAGCGCGGAATTTTGGGCAATACGACCATCAGTAAGGACCTTGCAAAAGCCCGAAAAACCGAAGCCTACACCCCCCAGCAGCACAAAGAAGACAAGCCGAGGTCGAGCAGGAGGGTGCCCAGAGAAGACGGGGAGTTGCACACGAGTACGAGAAGTTTCGTCGCTCTTCTCATGTTGTAAGCCGCAGGTGATCGCCTGGGCATGCGGCATCGCTTACGGCTCCCAAACCCTACCGGGCCCCAAGAACTGTTTGGCTTGGAGGGTTTAGTGTGAGAAAAGTTCGGGATGAAGATCGGGCGGATGCTTTCAGAGTCGCGATTCCGGTAACCTCCGTGAAACTCTATAAGGGCCTGAATTTTCAGTAATACTAACTGTAAGCTAGACCCTTCACTCCACATTCCCCTAAACCCTAATTTATAAACCCTAGAGCCCTAAGCCCTAAGCAGCAATCTACTTACAAAGCGCCAAGCAGCTGGACCCCGAGCTTCGACGCTTGAAGCTGAGATCCATCGTACGACAGTGCGAAACCACGATGGGTAAGATGCAGACTCGCCTGATTCAGAGTGATGTCGTTGGGGTCTCAAACTCTAAAGACTCTAGGACTCTTGCTTATTCACCCCCCACGCAGAGGGTTTAGGGTTGTACTGCGGACGTGGATTATGCTCTGGAAGTCTTTTGCCGACGCCTATCCGAAACCTCAGAGATGCGACTATAGGCTCATGAACAGTTAGTAGGAGGATCCCTGAGGTTCTCTAGACAGGTTCCGACAGCAATTGTCCGGAGTTACCAATTTGCAATCAAAAGCAGGACCCTGTTCTCATGATTAAGGACCCCCTGGCCAGGAGTAAAGGTATCAGAGGTTGATACCAGACACCATACTTTCAGAAACAAAGTCCGTAGTCTTATCATTAGTAATAGTACCCCTATGCTACCGTTTTCGAAAGTCAAGGAAGAAACCACATGCAGATCTACCACCCAACCCCTGTTCTGATTATGAAGGCCATTATATATTGCGGTTTCTGAAAGCTAAGGGCAGGAGTAGTAATACAGTAATACCGTAATGTACAGCACACAAGGCCCTATTCCAGTAACTCTGGTGCCTATCTATAACCCTAAACTCCCGAAAACTTTCTCTGCAGCCTTACACGAAAGCCAGGGTCAGGAGCATTAACACCATCACATAGTTACCCTAAATCGAAACCCCCACCCCAAAACCAAGGTCAGGAGTATGGACTCTTCGAAGCAGAACGGCAACGCTTGGCGAACCCGCAGCTTGCAGCTGAGACGACGGTGGATCTGAACGTAGGAGGCCTTTTGGGGAGCTTAGGGTTTAGGGTTTAGGGGGAGGACTTTTGGGGAGCCTAGGGCACACGGGTAGGCTTAGGGTTTAGGGTTGAGGGTTAGGCTCAGGGTGGGTTTGATGACCTGCTGAGGTCGCGTTCAAGGTAGAACATACCTATCGTTATACGCATCCTTTCTGCAAAAACACAGACCGCAAGAGGGCATTCAAAGCACAGTCCGCTTGTTATGGGGCTTCTAGGCCCTAGACCCTAAACCCTTTAGGTCCTACTATTGCTCGCAGTGTTTCTCTCCCAGCTTTCAGTCTGATAGTTTCACCTCGCCGACTTATGACCATAGGCCTCGCCTGCATTGTCCGAGCGTGAGAGCCGAAACCCTAAAGGGTTCTCAAAGGGGGCCGTGGCAAGGGGACTTGGAAGCGACTCCAGGATTTGTTGGCAAGTTTTGCAAGTTAGGCCCTACCCGTAGGCTCCATAGTAGTTCCTTTTTGGGATTACCTTGTAGGATCCTAAATATAAACCACGAAAAGGAACTATTATGGGATTAGGGGCTCCTATAAGAAGGAAGCAACAAGAAGCCGGAAACCACATGCAGGGTCTAACTAAGCACCCAATGCAGCCGGGCTTGGCTTGATTATGCCACATGACTTGTCGAAATCGATTTCGAAACTTCATGCTTTTGGGGGTTTGGCTAGACCATCAACAGCCAAGCCCTAATCTCTTGCAGAACCTGTATGAGCCGTTGGAGAACCCCAAACCCTTCTAGAAGCTTTGTAGAGTCCGTAGCCTTAGATGTAGTAGCACCCTAAACCCTAAACCACCAGCCCAGTTCGGCTGCTGTTGGGTGAAATGGCTGAGTTGCCTGCTTGCGTGACGGCATTATGTGGAGCGTTGCCTGCCTCGTGCGAGAGTGAGAGTCGAAACCATAACCCTTAACAAGCCCTAAACCCTAAACCCCTTACTACTGGCTTTCCGGGCGGTTCGATTGCAGTAGCCCCGAAAGGCTCCAAAGGCAGAGAACTTATCTGAGTGCGAGGTATGCAGCATTCGCATGTCGGGCCCTTCCCAGGGTGGGCACCGTGGTTGAGGATTGGGGTTTGGGGTTTAGTAGGGTGAAAGCTCATATTCAAGCTTTTGCCTGCCAGGTACAATCTTTGAGACCACGCGATCCACTCTGGTCCAGCGGCTTTGCGTGCGTTTTCTGTGTACGTGCAGTTTGGGTTCTACAGTTTGAACCAGCCAGCGGTTTCTGAGTCTTGGACGTATTTTCGGAGCTTGCGCGGTCCAGGAGTTTGGGGTTTGCCGCCGTCCAATCTGAAGCCCTCAGCCTTAACCCTCAACCCCTAAACCAACAAGCCCTAAAACCGAGAACCATTCCAGGTCTGTTCCGAAAAGCTGAGGCAGTCAGGCAGTTTCTTGGAAACCCTCCTCTCCGGACGGTATCAGATCAGCCGTGATCGCTTCTCGGATGCCTCAGCTTCGTGCTAGCCTGTGTGAAAGTGGGTTAAGGTTTAGGGATTAGGGTGAAGGTACCATAAGGACCGTAGCGGAATTGCATTCAGGTCAACCACAAGATCTTGATGCAGGCTTTGAGCTCGATGCAATATGCATTAAATCCTGAAGCCTAAACCCAAGGTAAGAGGATGTTGCACATGTATATTAGTATACTTACATACATACAGATATACATGCAGATGTGGATAGGTAGATAGGTAGGTAAGTAGGTAGGTAGGTAGGTAGGTAGGTAGGTAGGTAGGTAGGTAGACACATAGACAGATAGATAGATAGATAGATAGATAGATAGGTAGATAGGTAGATAGGTAGATAGGTAGATAGGTAGACAGAGAGATCCAGATAGATTGGCAGATAGATAGATAGATAGATAGATAGATTCAGGTAGACTCGGATAATAGATGGATGGATAGATAGATAGATATATCGCTAGATAGAGAAATAGATAGATAGATCGATAGTACATAGATTCAGGTAGACAGGTAGATAGATAGATCGATAGGTAGATAGATCGATAGATAGATATACAGATAGACAGACAGATAGGTACTGGTACCTCTTTCATGACAGGCTTGAGCAGTGAACCTTGGATCAACATCCCTTACACTAGAAGCTTTCGAACGATGGGTCTGAGCTGTAGTTAATAAACCTGCAGGCTACGGCAGGATCTTCCTGAACCGCCACTTGCCGGCAGCGGTGTTCGCAGGATGCCTACAGTCTGGCGATTTTAGAGGCGTTTTCTTCTCAACAAAAAACCATCCGAAATCCTACATTGACCCTTTTCAGAGTTCTCTCGCGAAGCTGCCGGAAAGGCTTTGGGTACCTCTTCTGGCACTGTCACCAACGTAACTACGTTTCAGCGGAATCCCTTCAACAACACCAGGTGGAAACAAGGCTCAATAGCTGACGTCTGAGAGGTGGTAGCCGCGTGGCCTTCATTACCAAACGGTAGCTCTTGCACATCCACAATGCATGCTTGCTGGCCCAGGTGACCCGGAGCATTTCAGGACGATTCTCAACTTCCTGCGTAACCCGCAACATGCCTGAAAGTTGAAACCTTAACACAGCCAATGCCAAGTTCTGTCCTAATAGCTCTCTGGATGCTGACCTTGTGACTGTTTCATGTGATTGCGCCGGTTCCTGTAGGGTACAATGCATGCATAGCATTGTGCTGAGCCGGGTTCCTGGCAGAAGCTTGGTTGCCCGACTTCTTCAATCATTAATCATGTAGCCCCGGATGCAAATGGGCATAGTGGAGCTCGAGAGATTAGGGGCTTCGGGTTTGGGGTGTAGGGAGCTCCTAGAAAGGGTCTACTTGGAGAAGTGTTTGTATGCCTGAAGGGCTGGCCGGGTTCATGGAAGGGCCGCGATGCCTAAATTCCTCAGGCAGACGCCACCTATGCCGCGAGATGCCGCCGAATCAGAAGCTTTGGTTCAGGACGGAAGATCATAGGCGCCCCAAGAAGGACATAAGCATAAGCATGTTACAAGGATATCTGTATATCCCTACCTTATTGGGATTCATTATGACGGGGTTGATACTGGGGATTTATGTGAGATACCCCTTCACGAACCGCCATAGTCCACGTGGCACTAGGAGGCTTACGCCAAGCTACCGCTCTCGCTGTTCCAGTTGTCGATGAAGCCTCTTACTCAAAAGAACGATCGGCTAAGCGGAGAGAAGCGCACCTATTTGGGTGCTTCTCCTCTCTATGTCGTGCTTGTATACTCAAAGCTGGCCCAAGATCGAACTCAGGCATACGGCATAAGCGCATGTACTAAAACATCGTACTATAGCTTTGGCTCAGTTTTTGCCACGTTTTCTCATGCTGCATGGAGATTTATTCGTGGTACAACTGCTATGTCCTGCTGCCGTCGTATCAGTGCATGGCACGCTCATGCGGACGATTATGCACACACATAACTTACAACAGTTACCTCAACTCGGCATTGAAGAAATTCCTGATGAATGGGCGCTGCATGTGAAGTCATTGTAGTGGTTTCGGTAGTCCCTTTTCCCGCATGTGATTTCATTGTAGATACACGCACATAGCGAAATCGCTGTGCCTTGCGTCGCGGCTGACAGGTGACTGAGTCCGTGTGAGAGAGAGCGAGAGAGCTTTATAACATGCTACAGTAGACTAGCTAGTTCGGGCACTTGCAGAGTGGACATTGTCGTAAGCTCCATACCCTAATGAATAGACTAGGCCTTGCTCTGGGCAGCCCGGAGGGTGTGTCATGTGGGAGCTTCCGGAAATTCGGGGTACCCCTATTTTCGGAAACCCCCATGTCTGTGCAGGAGGCGACCTACTACGGCGTTCATTTCTTTCCCTTCCCGTCTCTTGCCCAGATGACAACTTGGAGGTTCATGGGTAGTTATAAGTGGGGTCATAAGTCCGTTAGTATGGGTTATACAGTTATCACTATACCTTATCCTACTGATCCCTAAACCGTAAACCCCATAGTACCCTACTTAAACCTTAACCCCTCATCCCCAAAGGCTCAACAACCTCCTCGTTAGACGGACTTGTCTTGGAGCCCAGTCTCCCCGCAGTGCGACCTTGTCAGCGAAGCGGGCGGCAAAAAAATCCCTAAAGGCAAAACAGTACCCTACTTGCAACTACCTATGAACCTCCAAAGGCCGAGCTGGGCTCGTTGGACTTACATATGGCTCCTTAGCTATCTGCCAGATTGCCGCTTTGAGCTAATCCCCAAATTCTTAAACCCAAAACCCCTAGCCATTTTGGCTCAATAATTTGGATCAAGCACTTTGCCAGTCCTGTGCATTCGCGAGGCGCACCGCTCTCAATGCATGATGCCCTCCATGATCTTTAAGGCGGAAGCTTTCGCGGTGGAGGAACCTGTGCAACAGGAGGCTGCAAGCTCGTCCGCCCCAGCCAGTGCAGCTGAAGTTTCTGAGCCAGCGCAGGACCTTGCGCATAGTGTTGATGTGATGCCGTCCCAGGGCCCGCCAAAGCCGACATCGGAAATCTCCGCTCCCGATGCCAGCCCCCGGGAGGGCCCGCCAGAGCCGCCATCGGAAATCTCCACGCCAGCCCCCAGCAGCACCCTGCGCGGGTGCAGGGCGTTGATGTGATGCCATCCCAGGCTTCATCAGATCTTGGAGCCACTGCCAGGCCCGCAAGGCTCCGCCAACCGCGATTGAGGAGGTGGTGTGCAGACTTGTGGACATGTACGGCACGCTTTTCGACGTGTCCACCGTGCTCCCCCCCGGCACCGACAGCCTGTTGACAGCTTCGGATCCCTCTGCAGCGGTGCTTTATCGAAGCCATGCGTCGGCAGCCGTATGGGACTGATCGCCTTCACAGGGAGCTTGGGCCTGGGCCCGTCAGTAGAGACAGTCTGCTGCGGGCACTCAGAGACGGCTGGCCCACCACTGCCCCTGTGGTTGGCGTCTGCCGAGCCGAGCACGCAGTCGTGGAGCGGGATGTTTTCCTGTCAGATGAGCTGCTCCAGCATGTTCTGGGAGGCGGCCCTTGAAAGTGCTCCGACACACAAAGTCAAATCTGGCTAGGTTGATGCACTCGGCCTAAGTTGGACATGAGAGGTTTGTGCAGCCTGGGCTCTCCGCATTTTTCCTATTCTGCAAGCATCCCAGATCTTCGGAAAAAACACCTTAAATCTAAACCCCTCAACTCCTAAACCTTAAACACCTAAGCTCTCAACCCTAGGAGGTCGAACTCTGGAGGGTCTGGGAATTCACAGTGATTGAGAGATGTTAACAGGTTGATTGTCTGTGGAAGTAGGCACCTGAAGTGACTGCATGCGAAGCTCCTTGGCGGTAAGGGTCTGGGCTTTCCTTGAGACATTCGATGTCTTTATTTGGGATCCGCCTTGGTGCACCCCAAAACCCTATTCTAATTATTAAGGCCCTATATTACAGGGGTTCAGGCTTGATTGTAGCAACAACGGTCTTCAACCGACTCGGTGGCTGGGGAGTCGACCGTACTGGAGCCCTCCAAACTCATCTTAAGGTTTAGGATAGGGTCTAAGGTTTAGGGAGAATGCCTAAGCTGTCGGTACTAAGACCCTAAACCCTAAACCCCTAACTCCCGGCCACAAGTTCGTCAAACCCAAGACCCCTGAAACCCTGGGCTTAGGGTTCAGGGTTTAGTGCTGCTTCCCGGCTGATGGGCAGAGTCTGGGTTCAAGAAAAGGTGTAAGATTTAGGGTTTAAGGTTTAGGGACATGCAAGCCTGATGTGAAGAGGGTTTAGGGGTTAGGGTTTAAGGTTTAAGGGTTTGGGTTTAACGTTTAGGGTTTAGGGTTGCCCTAAGCGACCCTGGAAGAGAGCGAGGTTGGTTTTTGCAGCCGGGGGTCACGACGGCTATGAGCATCTCCGGGCCATGGAGGTTGGTTTTCAGGGTTTTTGTTCAATGGTTGGAGTTAAGGGGTGTGCAAAGTCTAGTTTAAGTTTAATTTGTTGGTCAGCTATTTAGTGGGAGGGAACTAACTAACTAACTAACCAACCAACTAACTAGCTTAACTAGCTATCTAGCTAAAGCTATCTAACTAACCAACTAACTAACTAACTAACTAACTAACTAACTAACTAACTAACTAACTGACTACCTAACTAACTAATTTGACTAATTACTTACTTGAGTAATTCATTTGGGTTCAGGCCCAGAGTTTAGAGTCTCACGTCCCTGCACCAAGCTCCAGGTTCAAAACAAGGGCTAAGGGTTTGTAACGAGTGTAAGGTTTAATATAGTGGCCCTAATAGTGAGAATAGGGTTTGGGGTATATTATACTATGATTATAATAAGGAGCCCCCAAAACCCTATTCTAATTATTAAGGCCCCTATGTATATGAACTCTTGACAGACATGCTTTGGCGGGTTTCAGACCTTTTGCCGACTTGCGGATTCAGCAGGACTTAGCTACTCAGGTATCGGGTGTCGGCCAAGCGCACACTGAGACCTACAGCCCCTAGACCAAGCCCCACATCTTAAGCTTCAAACCGGAACCCTTAAGCCCTGAAATCTGTATCAAATCCCTGATCGAAAGCCCTTTCGCCCAGAAAACTTCCCTCTCGGCCTTCTGTAGGTTTGAGTTCAACCAGATCAGCACCCAGGCCCTCGTTACGCGAACATGTACGGAATACCGTTCAAAATCCGAAAAGCATTCAACTGCCTCCTGCCTCAAGACCCTCACCATAAGTCTTTATACTTTCTGACCCTTTCGGCTCAATCGCTTCAGCACATGAGTTCTCGGAGCCTCATAGTGACTCTAATTTGCCCTAAACCCTCTACCGCCCGTTTAAAAGCAGTGCCAGCCCCCTCAAACCCTTGTGCGTCCTCCAACCCCCTTTACAAACAGTACAAACCCTTACCAAATCCTATGTTTTTCCGAAGGCCCTAAGGTAGATAGCCTTCCTCTGACCAGGTCCTGGATGTGGGGAATCAATGCTGGCGACCCTGCCGTGCCATGGTCACGGCGACTAGACAGTCTCAGTCGGCTTTGGGTTCTTCGGGATGAGGAGTCGGCTTTCGGGTGCTCAAAACCCACCCGAAACCCTGGGTGTCTTCTTTCTTCCGGAAGGCAGGGATTGTCAGTACTTGGACGTTATAGTTATCCTATGGGGTGTAGCAAATCCAGGTAGAGGCCATAAGCAGAACGAGTTTTCGGAGATGCCATTGAAGAACTGAGAAATTTGGACAGTCCGGTGCCTGTCCTCGAAACTGCGACACCGAGCTTCATGCAAGCTTGGGTGTGCATATTTGAGTTGCATGAGACTCGCGAATAAGCTGGGTGTAGCTGTACTCAGGGTTTCATGGGCAGTTTAAGTCGGGTCATAAGTCCTTCAACATGGGAAAACAAAGGTTATCCTGTTTATAACCTTATAACCATGTTTATATAGCTCACCATGACCTCCAAGTTCCCGAACCCAAACAAGCTCTGAGCCCGCCTGAGGAGCGCACATACTTCGGGGCAGCAACTCTGCGCAACCGCTTGCATGTCTATGGTGGCCAGAACCTGGATTACAAGGTCCGCCGAGCTACTACGCCCTGAACCCTAAACCGGTGGGAGAGCCATGTGTCTGTAAGACTGGGTTGCTGTTCAGAACTTAATTTAAGTTACCATAATGAGGATATATAGTGAATAATAAGGATTCCTTACTATTGTAACTTACTTTCAGTTCCTTCAAGGAGTAGTTGCTGTTGGCTCCCAGGCTTTGTTATAATGTCATATATCATATGTAAGAAGAAGAATGACAATGATACATTGTTATTACTATTTCGATATTATATTATTATCTTCAGTTATTGTGTTTTATTTCATTATTTTAGTGTATTCGAGACAAGGCCGGTAGCGGAGTTGGCTTCCCAACCAGTCGGTCGTCACTCATTTTTGCTTGCAGCGGCTAGGGACCGGACTCTGCTGCCGTGACCTACGGTAGAAGCCCAAAAGTTGGAGACCCAATAGCCTCAATCCGTATAGGGAATCCCCGCACTAATTGTCCCTAATTTGGTTTCCAACTTTTGAGTGTTCAGGGTACACCTAAGCCCCTAATTCCTCAAGTCCTCAAACCTCAAAGCCGAAAGCACCATGAGGCGTAGATCCCAAAACCCGACACCGTTGATTCAGGGTCCTGTTCCTTGAGGCGCTTTGCGACGTCGAGATCTACGACTGCCTTCGAGATACCTGGGAGGCAGAATGTGAAGGGGGCAGGGAAGAGCGCAGTGATGCAAAATCGACATTGTCATTAGCTGGCATGGTCATAACGGTCGTACTATGTGTACATGAACGGACACCCAGGAATGGCACGTAACCGGTACGCATTCTCGACGTGCAGTCCTACATCGATCAACTGTGCTGCTCCAGGGTCCCTATGTGCCTATCACTCCCCAGAGTTCGAGATTCCGTATACGATGGATTGCAAGAGTTCACGGATCTTCCTTATCTCACTTGTAGCGGAACAAATCCTACCTGTCTAGGGTTCCTTCTTATGGTTTTGATGTGTATATATACAGATATGTACATACATATTGCATCTATATATATATATATATATACGTATACTTATATATACGCACACACACACACATATATATATATATATACATACAAATATACATACATACATACATACATACATACATACATACATATAATCATAATAGAATATAATATTATAATATAGTATAATATAATATATAATATAATATAATATAACATAATATAATATATCATAATATAATATAATATAATATAATATAATATAATATAATGTAATATAATGTAATATAATATAATATAATATAATATAATATAAAATAAAATAAAATAATATAATATAAAATAATATAATATAATATATATTATAATATATTATGATATATAATATAGTATAATATAATATAATATAATATAATATAATACAATATAACACAATATAATATAATAT